TTGGGGGCAATATGCTGACTCTCTGTAAACCGCTTAGAGAGGCCTGAAAGGCCTATGAAGCGGTATATAAGTCTACTGCTATTGCTATTAAAAAAGAAGGAAGAAGAAATGAAGACGAAAGAAGGAGAGGAAGAGGGAAGGAGAGGAAGAGGGAAGAAAGGAGAGAAGAAGGGATAGGAAGGAAGGAGGAGGGAGGGGGAAGGAAGGAAGGGAGAATGAAGAAAGGAGAGGGAAAGGAAAGAAGGAGGGAGGGAAAGGAAGGAAGGAAAAGAAGAGGGAAGGAAGAAGAAGGGAGAGGAGGGAGAAAGGAGGGAAAGGAAAGAAGGAAGGAAGAAGAAAGGAAGGAAGAGGAAGAGGGAAGGGAGGAGAGAAGAAGGGATAGGAGGGAGGAAAAGGAAGGAAGAGGAAGGAAGGAAGGAGGAGAGGGAGGGAGGAATGGGGAGAGAAGGAGAGAAGGGAAGAAAGAAAACCCAAAGACAACATTGGTCTAAATAATAAAAATTAAAACCCATTTTTCCCCTCACCTTCTTGGCTCTCTCGGCCTTGTCCCGTTCGATCTTCTCTCGCACTCGCTGCCTGGGAAAAGGAAGAGGGGGGAGAGGAGGAGGGGGGTGAATGGCAGAAGGACCCCCTTCCTCACTTCACACTTAGGAAGGGTCGAAAAATGACCGTCACCAAAGCTGGAAATCTGGAGGAGGAGAGAAACGTGGAAGGACGACCTCGGAGGGCTGACGGAAGCAGATGGACAGGCGCCTTTTACCCAGAATGCAATGCTCCCCCCCCTCCCCAGGCCCTTGATGGAGCTGAGCGAAGCTTCCCAGCAGCCCCCGGGGAAGGTCATGACTGAGGGATGCTGGGAGTGGGGGCCGTCCAAGGCCCTCCTCCCGTTTAAGCAGGGTGTTTAGAAACTTTTTGAAGTGGGTGGACTTCAACTCCCAGAATTCCTCAAGGCAGCGAGTGGAAATCCACGCCCTCTTAACAGGATGCCGGACCGGGGATTCTGGGAGTTGAAGTCCACCCGTCTCAAAGTCCGAGGACGGGCAGGTTTAGAGACTAGGGGCAATTTCCCCCCCTCCCCCGGATTCCTCTTGGGTTTTACACACACACACACACACACAACACACACACAAAACACACACACACACACACACACACGCAAACACACACAGGGCCCCCTCACTTGGCCATCTTCTCCTCCATCTTCTCCCTCCGCCTCTCTTCGGCCAGCTTCTTCATCTCGTCTTCCTGCAGCTTCTGGCGGATGAGCAACAACTCCTGGCCTTGTTTCCGGCGTTGCTTCTCCCGCTCGATGGTCTCCCGCTTCTCCCGCTCTTCGCGCTCCTTCTGCTTCTGGTAGATCAGCTCCATCATCCTGGGGGTGGGGGGGAAGAGGGGGGGGAAGGAACCGCCGGAGCTTA